CACCGCCACCCCACCGCACTACCCGCCACCCAACACCACCACGCTACACCGCGTCACAACACATCAAAAGCGGCGCCACACACAGACACACACGCAAGCGCACGCACGCACGCAACGCACGCACAGCACGAGCGGCCGCACTCACAGACCACCACACAACACACACACATACACTCACAGCACACAACACACACCACACACCCACACACACACGCACACACACAACACACACACACACACACACACACACACACACACACACACACACCACCGCCACCACCACCACCGCCATCACGCACGTACGCACCTGGCCCACCACCGAACCACCAAGACGCCACACCACGTCACACCACAGCACACGCGCACACACGCACGCACACACACACACACACACACACACACACACACACACACACACATACACACCACCACCACAACAACCACAACCACGCACACACGCACGCACGCACGCACGCGCACCACCACCCACTACGCACACGCGCGCGGAGCCACAGGTCCGCTACGACACGCGTCCGCGGATAGAGAAAATCAGCGCCATGGTAAGGGATGGGAGGGAGGGGTAGGATGTCAGATGTTGACGCGAGCGCACCTAACTTGTCCTCCCCCTCCTCCTCCCCCCCCCACCCCCAAAACACAAACATGCCCTAACGATGTGACCAGCTCCCCCACCTCCTGTTCCGTTCACCTCCCCCTCCCTCTTGTCTCCCCTCCTCTCCTCCTGCTCCTCCTCTCCTCCTCCTCCCTCCTCCGAGCCTCCTCTCCTCCTCCTCCTCCGCCTCCTCCTCCTCCTCCTCCTCCTCGCTATGGCCTCGCTCTCCCTAGAATGCTGGATTTTGAGGTTGCGAGGCTGCATGGCTTTGACACTCCGTCTGGCGCTGTCGTTGTCGCTCAGACGTTTCCCTTTGAGGAGGGCTGCCTCATTGCTTTGCGCCCTTGGGCGAAGGGGGCCATGGCCCCAATATGTTCAGAAGCGCCAGAAGCCTCCGCCTCCTCCTCCTCCGCCTCCGTCCCCTCCCTTTGCTATTACTCTTGTTCGTCGTAGTATCGATATTTGGATTACGTGTCGCCTGCATCTCCCGATTATTACCTTATGATCAGCAGTCGTAGTCTTCTTATTAGTCTTCAACTTCGGGTGAGTATTATTAGTAGCATCATGATTATTAGTAGTATTAATAGTGCTCAACTATTAGCTGTGGCATAAGTATAAATATCACCAATCACATTAACAATGTGATCATGTTTAGTGGAAGTCGTAACAGTAATAGTAGTAACCGTCTTAGCAGTAGTATCCTTATTCGTGATAATATTAATATTATTATTCGTAATATTTTTATGTGTGGGCTTATTCGCATTGTTATACGTCTAAATAGTGTTGGTACTCGTCTTACCAATGGTAGTATTAAAAATAGCCTGAATATTCATAGTATTAATGATTCGCATCAGTGCTATTAGCCATCGTCTTGCTGTTGGTAGGAATCGCCTTCTTATTCGCATTCGTCGTATTAATCGTGGCATTCGGCGTTTAAGTAATCGTATCAGTCGCCTTATATTTATCAGGGGTAGCGGTATTATGCGAAGTCTTCGTATTAGTATTATTAATGTTCAGTATCGTTTGTGTTCGCAGTCTTCTTCGTCCCAGTATTAATAGTAGTCGGATTGTTCGTATGGATTGTCTTCTCGTTCTTCTGATTATCAGTAGTGCTCGTAATCCTCGCCTTAGTAGTAGTATCTTTCGTGTTGGTCGTCTAATCATATGTCTTCTTAGTGTTAGTATTGCTGTTTGGCGTGTTACTCTTCTCCTTCTTCGTACTATTAATAATACTCGTAGTATGAGTACGCTTTGTATATGTGGTAGCCGTATGGTGCGTATTCGTACTCTGCTTATGCTGATTCAGATGTTTAGAATCACGAATCGTATTCATATTAGCCGTCGTCTTAATATTCGTATCATTCGCATGGTTACCAGTAGTATTCTCAGCCGTCATATTATTATTCGTATGATTCGCATTGGCGATCTTAGAAATAATTACCATTCGCATCATTAGTATGATTGTTCTCCTTCGCATTCCTAGCACCAGTCTTATGTTGTCAGTATTACCAACATGCTTATCATTACTAGTATGTACATTATTCGTGTCATGTTTATTAATCCTTATCGTTATCATTATCAGCCCTCCTCCTCCTTCTCCTCCTCCTCAACATCATCATCCTTCTTCCCTTCCCCTCCCCCTCCTCATCCTCCTCCTCCTTCCCTCCATCTCCTCCTCCCCCTGCCCCTCCACCTCCTCCTCGCCCTCCCCTCCTCGGGTCGCCTACGGCCCCACGGGAAACCGGCCAACCCACCCCCCCACCCCCCGCGCGCGCGCCCCGCCCGCCACTCACAAGGAGCGCTCCACTACAGTGGGGACCCAGGACAAGAAGCACCCTGCTTCCTCCTCCTCCTCCCCCCTCCTCATCGTCCTCCCTCCTCCTCCTCCCCCTCCTCATCCTTCGCGTCATCGTTCCGCCTCCCTCCGCATTCCCTCCTCCTCTTCCTCCTCCTACTCCTCCTCCTCCTCCTCCTCCTCCTCCTCCTCACTCCTCTCCTGTCCTCCCCCTCCCGCCTCCCCCTCCCCCTCTCCCCCTCCCCATTCCTCCTCCTCCTGCTCTCCTCCTCCGCCGCCTCCTCCTGCTCCATTTCAGTTTCCTCCTCCCTCCTCCTCCTCCTCCTCCTTCCTCCTCCCCTCCTCCCTCTTCCTCCTCCTCCTCCTCCTCCTCCTCCTCCTCCTCCCCTCCTCCTTCCCCTCCTCCTCCTCTCCTCCCCCTCCGCCTCCCCCCCTCCTCCTCTTCCTCCTCCTCCTCCTCCTCCTCCTCCTCCGCCTCCTCCTCCTCCTCCTCCTCCCTCCTCCCTCCTCCTCCTCCATCGTCATCATCATCTCATCATCATCATCATCATCACATCATCATCATCATCATCATCATCATCATCATCATCATCATCTCATCAGCCATCACGCATCAGCATCGCATCACATCAGCTACAGCATCAGCATCAGCATAGCATCATCACCATCACCATCAAACCTCACCAGTATCTACCACCACCCCCCCATCATCATCATCATCATCATCATCCTCATCATCATCATCATCATCATAATCGTCACATAATCGTCATCAACATCATCATCATCATCACATCATCATCATCATCATCATTATCATCATTCAGCTCACATCACATCATCAGCCGCATCATCCATCATCATCAGCAGCAGTATCATCATCACATCATCATCACCATTCATCAGCATCAGCATCATCATCATCATCATCATCATCATCATCATCATCATCGTCGTCAGCATCAGCAGCATCATAATCACCATCATCATCAGCGGCAGCAGCATCAGCATCATCATCGTCATCATCGTCAGCAGCAGCATCAGCAACATCAGCATCATCACAGGCATCATCAGCATCAGCATCATCATCATCATCATCGTCGTCAGCATCAACATCATCATCATCACCACCACCACCATCATCAGCATCAGCATTTGCATCATCATCCTCCTCCGCATCATCATCATCATCAGCATCATCATCATCGTCACCACCACCACCATCATCATCATTATCATCATCAGATTCATGATCATCAACAGCATCATCAGCATCGACAACAACAACAACATCATCATCATCATCATCATCATCAGCAGCATCAGCATCAGCATCAGCATCAGCATCAGCATCAGCATCAGCATCAGCATCATCATCATCATCATCATCATCATCATCATCATCATCATCATCATCATCATCATCATCATCATCATCATCATCTCCGCCTCCGCATCCACTTCCGCCTCCGCGTCCTCCTCCTCCTCCTCCTCCTCCTCCTCCTCCTCCGCCCCCCCCGTCCTGCTCCTCCTCCTCCTCCTCCGCCTCCGCCTCCGCCTCCGCCTCCGCCTCCGCCTCCGCCTCCTCCTCCGCCTCCTTCTCCTCCTCCTCCTCTTCCTCCTCCTCCTCCTCCTCGTCCTCCTCCTCCAGCCTGGACGTGCCGAGCAGGGGCGAAGACCAGGCCTGGGAAAAAAAAACAGCCTGGCGAAGCGAGTCTACGGCCCCCTGCGTTGTCTAGAGCCCCCCGCCCCCCCCTACATTCCTCTCCCTACATTCCTCTCCCTGCGCTCCCCCCCTACATTCCTCTCCCTACATTCCTCTCCCCTACGGCCCCCCCTACATTCCTCCCCCTACTCGAGTCTACGCCCCCCCCTACATTCCTCCCCCTGCGTTGTCTCGAGTCCCCCGCCCCCCACCACCCCCCAGAGTAACAAACGGGAGCTGGTACTGCTGCACACCGACCTCTCCCAGGGCGCATTCCGGCCAGAGCTTCGGAGCGAAGCCAGCCGTGGCGACGAGGGCATCCCAGGAGGCCAACAAGACGACCACGAGGTGAGGGCAGCGGGCAGCGGTATTGGCACCTTTTCGTCTCCTGATTCCTTCTGGGATCTGACGCCATCCGGAAAAATCACGAACGAATGCCCAAACCCCAGTCTTGCTGCTGCACTTTTCGAACCCGCTCGACCTGCCATGGCCTCGGGGCCCGAGACCAAGCGAAGTAACTCGATCCGGCGGCCACTTGAGACGATCCAGGCACACCCCGACACACCTCGGCGAGGCGCAGCTGCGGGAAAGCATCCCGAAGCTGGGAAGTCGGCGGTAACAAACGAAACACCCGAAACTTGGAACCTCGAACCCATCATTCGGGGAGACATAAGACCCGGGTACGGGGGACTCGGAAATCCCCGACGAGGGCGTCAAAAAATGACGAGGCCGAGCCTGCATTTTGACGAGGCCTCCCGCTGCAGACATCCCACGAAACTCCTACTCGTCAAAATCCGAATCGCGGTCGTCAAAAGACGATGGCGAACCCGAATCCTGGCAAACCCGGGTCTTACGCTTCCCCGAATCATCTGCCCCTTCCCTCCCCGCGCCGAAGCTCAGGCTCCGCGCGCTGGGCTGCTTCTGGGGGCTGCCGAGGCGCTGCGGGCTGCCCCCGAGGCACTGCGAGCTGGCGGCGGGGCGCCGCGCGGCCGAGGCGGGGGCGGCGGGCCAACGGCGGCGGACGGCCGTGGCGGCGGCCAGCGGAAGACGGCAAGACGAGGAGGAGGAGGAGGAGGAGGAGCGACCCGCGTTCAGAGGGGGGAGAGGGAGGTCCCAGTCCACCACAGCCAGAGAGCAAGCACGCGCGCGGGGCTCGCCTGGGAGATGGCCGTATACTTCACGACCGCCCCGAGCCCGACGCTCCCACACCAAGGAGGAGGAGGAGGAGGAGGAGGAGGAACTAGAACTGCGGGGATTGGAAGCTGTACGAGTTAAAGCGTGGCGGAAATCAGATGGCGATTGCAATGTCTATACGTCCCCGTACAATACACAGGCATCCGACAGCGCTCGGGCCAAGCGGCGGCGGGCCCTCCGATTCGATGCGGGATTGCGCGGGCGAGGAGAGACAAAAGAGGAAGGGAACCAGAACTGTCCAACACCAGCGCATTCGAGGCTCAGCAGGGAGACCCCGTCGCAGTCTGACCTGGGGGGCGACGCGGCGGGATGCGGGTTCACCCTCGAGCTCGCTCGTGTTCTTAAGGCCGGCACTGGAGGAGCTCGCACGCGTGAGCGATGGTGGGGTGAATGTTTCCAGGCCGCGTCTGCGCATGTTGGTGACCTCGGGCCGCCGACGTGGTGTCTGGAGGCCCCTGGGTCACGCGACGGGCGAGGCGGAGGTGCGCAGACGCCTTGACCTGGCAGGTGGAAGAAAGTGATGGATGCAGGTAGACCTCGAGGGAAGCGCGAACTGTTCGACACCATCGCCTCGAGGCCTCCGCTCCGCCCACGACCGAAGGCCACCTCCTCGCTGGGCGTGCCAAGGGCCTCCGCCTCTTCGGCCTCGGCACTGCCCGCGGGCGAGGGCTGGCCTGGCTCGCCAGCGGCAGCCGCGCGGACGTCCGCGCTGACGCGGCGGCGCTTGACATCCTTTTCCTGCCCTTCGTGTCTTCTTCTTGTTAGTGAAAGTCTTATTATTATGATTATTACTATTATTATTATTATTATTAGTAGCATTATTGCTATTTTTATTAATATTATTATTATTAGTAGTATTATTATTATCATTATTAGTATTAGTAGTATTATTACTATTATTATTATTCTAAGTAGTAGTAGTATTATTAGTATTATTATTACTGTGTTTCTCTGTTTCTTACTGGTAGTATTGTTACTATGCTGTTCATTCGCATTCTTCTCATTATGATTAGTAATAGTATCGTTCATATTATCATTATGTTCTTTCTCCTCATCAGTATGACTACTATTATTGGGCAGGTCGGCGTGGGTGTCTGGCATGGGATCGCTCTTGCCCTTGGCGAGAATCACAGCGGCGTGCCCGCGAGAGCCGATGGGCGCCATGGCTCCTGTCCTCGTCCAACATGGGCGCGGTGCCGAAGGACGGGGCAACGTCGACCTCCAGCCCGAGCCGCGAGCGGCGCTGTCCTCGGCGCACCCAGCCCCGCGAGGAGGAGACTGGGGCGGAACCCTTGGCGAAAGGTGCCGACGAGGGGGAGTGCGCGGCGCGCTCACCCCGCGGCGATGGGGAGCGCGATTAGGGGGCCACGTGCGAACCCTACCCCTACCCCCCACGATTTCTGAGGGGGAGGGTGGGGGTTCACTTCGCTCGAGAGCTCCCGAGCGAAGGGAACCCCACCCGCCCCACCCTTCCCCGAGAAAACGTGGGGGGGTAGGGGTAGGGTTTATCGTTCGAGTCGGACAGAAGAGGAGATGAGGAGGAGGAAGAAGAGGAGGAAGAGGAGAGGACAAGGGGAGAGGGGGAGGAAGGAGGAGGAGGAGAGGATGTGGAGGGAGGCGTAGGGGGAGGGGGGGGGAGGGAACCCAGGGGGAGGAGAGGAGGAGGGGAGGAGAGGAGGTGGAGGGAGGAGGTAGGAGGGGGGGGGATGAGGAGGGAGTAGGGGTGTGGGGTTTTCGCATGTGGCCCCCCAGTAGGTTTGCGCCGCGCGCGCGCGCCTCCGCACTACGCCCTTCGCCCCGCGGCGGTGGGGGAACTAAAGAACAAAAAGTAGAAAGAAAAAAAAAAAAAAAAGCGCGATGGGGCCGCGGCGTCCGCGGCGCCGGCCTCTTGGAGGCCGGCACGGCCCTCTTGGAGGCAGACGCGCCGAGGGCCGACTCGTCGCGGGCCTAGAGCGACTGCCTACCATTTGGACGCCCGAAATGGGTACCGAAAGAATGGGTATTATGCCCAACAACAAATGTTGTCCCAAACCAACAGCGGCCGCTGTTGGGCGGGCGGCCTCCTGTCTCGAACGGACACAGGCCGCGGCGGCGCGGACAGCGAGTCCTGTTCAGAATGAACAGGAACTGCTGTTGGGCATAGTACCCATTCTTTCAGTACCCATTTCGGGCATCCAGATACCAGACCACCCCAACCCCACCCGAAGACCCGCATTTCGGGTTGGGGGGGGGGTAAGGGTTCCACATGTGTCTTGTCGACGTTCCCCGACCCCCACCCCACTGGAAATCGAGGGTAGATCTGAGCCTTCGGGTTGGGTCGGGGTGGTTTGGTGGGTGGTTAAAGAGGGGGCCTCGGCCCAACCCCGGCCACGAGCCGACGTTGGCGAGCGCCCAACAGCGGCGGCACTCGGCCCGCCTTCGGGCGGTCCATGGCGAAGGGGCCCCGGGACACACAAATAGATGAGCACAAAGAAAAAGATGCCCCGTATTTTCCTACATTTTCTGGGGTTTTGTCTCCCCCTCCACTTCCCATATTTTCCCATATCTTCTGGGGAATCGAGGATGAATTGAGTCTGTGTGTTTTTGTTCCCTTCTCACAGGGGGCCCACGAGCTGCACGGCTTGGCCGCGCACGTGGCCAAGACTTCTGCGGGAGCGGAGTGCTGGCGGACTGCGGCTGCGCGTGGCTCGGCCGGCCCCCTCGGCCCTGCGAGCCTCGACCGTGCACTTGTGGCAAACAGCTCCGGCGCCATGACGCAATCAGTTACTCCAGATTTCGCAATAAAGGGAGGGGGGTCTCATTTCGGGGGGGGTCTCTTCCAGGCTATCTTGGAGGGCCTGGGGGGGTCTGGGGGCGATGTTTTGGAGGGTTCTCCCACGGGGGGGGGGTCTGAAATGGCTTGTCTTGGAGGGTCCAGACCCCCTCCCTTTTATTGCGAAATCTGGAGTACCAGCCTCGAACGTATCCCTATCCCTAAGATTGACACGCCAAAAGGCGATGACAATCTCAGGGATCCGCCCTCAAAAAAGTAAGGGAGTCCCTAAGACTGGCATCGTGATGAGGAGGTGCCCAGCATAGGGATAGGGACATGTTCCAGGCTGGTAAATTAGAGACTCCGGCGCGGCAGCACCTCGGGGACCGGGTCGGCGATGCGCCGCTGCCGCGTGAGCTCCGCCACCTCGGCGTCGCCTCGTGCGGAGCGGAGGGAGCCGAAGAGCCTTCCGCGCGTGCCGAGGCCGGCGCGTCGGAGCGGATACGCTCTGCTGGCGGGCAGCACCCGCGCGCGGGGCACGGCGGCTGCGCGGCACTTGCGGGGAGACGGCGGGCGCGAGCGGGACCGAGGACGCTCTTGAGCCCGAGCGTGACCTGGTACTCGATCCTCGATCCTCCCTCCTCCCTCGACCCTCGATCCTCGATCCTCGATCCTCCCTCGGTCCTCGATCCTCGATCCTCCTCCTCCCTCGACCCTCGATCATCGATCCTCCCTCGACCCTGGATCCTCGATCCTCCACAGCGAGGGGCCATCGCTCGGCTTCGAAGAGTTCGGCTTCGCCCAAGGCGACGCCAACGCTTGACTGGGGGAAGCTCCTTGGGCCACCCTCTCGATTGGGATGGGGCTGCCGGAAGAAAGAAGCACGGAGTTCTTCTTTGAGGCCCGGGGGGGCCTTCTCGGGTGGTGGCGAGGGAGGAGCTAGGGCAGGAGGGGGAGTAGGAGGAGGAGGAAGAGGAGGAGGAGGAGGAGGAGGAAGAGGAGGAGGAGGAGGAGGAGGGGATGAGGACTGGGCACGCCAACTCGAAAGAGATCCGAGCGCGTGGCACTGATTTTTCTCTGTCCGCGGACGTGTGTCATAGCCGACCTGCGGCGCCCACAGAAAGACCACCTCGTGTCATGCGCAATCGGAAAAAGGGGAGCTGCGTGCACAGGAGGAAGAGGTGATGGAAGAGCAGGAGGATGATGGGGAAACGAAGAATGACATAAACATAAAAACTCGGAAGTCCGCGCGGATTTCTCGGATCCGCGCTGGACCCCCCTCCCTGGCGCGCGGAGCGCGCCAGGGGCGGCGCCGCCAGGGGGCCCCAGCGCGGATCCGAGAAATCCGCGCGGACCTCCGAGATTTATGTTTATGTCATTATTCGTTCCCCTAGATGAGCGGGAGGAAACGGATGAGGACGAACAACAAAAGCAGGAACTGAAGCGGACGGATCGGGAGTAGACGGAGGACCAGGAGAAGGCGGAGGAGGGGATTGTAAGGGGGCGACAACGATAGAGAAAGACTCGGGTTCAGGAAAGCTGCCCGCGCTGGGGCGAAACGAACAGCAGCAACAGGAACTGGAGAGGAAGGAGCGGGAGGAATAGGAGGACCAGGGGAAGGCGGAGGAGGGGAGATCAGGGGGGGACCACAATGAAGCAGGACTCGGATCCAGAAGTGGCCCGCGCTGGGGCGAGAGCGCAATTCTGAAAAACGGCAACAAACCGCCGATCCGAAAATGAGGCCCACACTGCAGCGAGAGCACCATTTTGAACGCCGGCAACAATCGGATTCTCAAAACCATCAGAAAAATCAGTGTCTGGAATCCTGCGCAGCACCAAAAAACAGCACGCGGAAAGGGTGCAGGAGATCCTCCGGACAGCTTCGGGGGAGGATGGCGAGCAGCATTCATCCCTGCTTGTAGAGGAGGGAGAGGAGGGGGGGGGGGGGAGCGGACGAGGGGCAGGGGGCAGGGGGAGGGGAAGTGAAAGGCGGCAGGAGGAGGTGAGATCGTGCACCTGGTGAAAGGCGGAGGGGAAGGAGAGGAGGAGGAAGGAGAGGAGGAGGAAGGAGAGGGAGGGGAGGGGAAGGGGGAGGGGAAGGAGAGGAGGGGGAGGGCGAGCAGGAGGTGAGATCGTGCACCTGGTGACCGCCCGGGCGCGGCGGGTGACAGGAGCCTCCGGCCCTCCTCCCCGACGCACGGCCCCGGCAGGGAGGGAACACGGCTCGCACGCTGCTTGGGAACCCCGGCTCGGGCAGCCGCCGCCGCGGCGCCGAGCGGCCCGCCGGCCGGCGGCAGCTCCCCACCCCCGCGGGCAGCGGCGGCGGCGCAGGGCTGGGCTGAAGGAGCGGCCCAGACATCGGGCGTCTCGAAAAAATCGAGACGGAGGCTTTTCGTCGTTTTCGGCCTCTCGGGGAAGTGGTCGGGAGGTCGGGGGCCCGTGTCTCGAAAAAATCGAGACGTCGGATGTCTGGGGGGGTACCCGAAAGTTTCCGACCGTAGTCACTCGAAGTGCACCGCCGCGCCGATATGCCTCATAGCGCAGCCCGCAACACAATCCCTGCAGGGCAAGCCTGCCTTGGCGAGCACGGCACCTCCGCATGTAGAACGGCAGCTGGCGAACCCATCGCGCGACGAGGGAGGGCAGGAGCGGACCGGCCCACGGGGCCCACGGGGCCCGCGCGGGCGGGGCGCAGAGGCAGGACCGAGGCTTGCCCTGCGACGGCGGGCCCCCTGCGCGGACGGCGCCGGGCCGCCCCCCGGCGAGCGGGCGGCACCGCGTGGCAGCACGGCGGCGGCGCACAGCGGAACGGCGGCGGGCACGTGCGCCTCGTGCGCGCAAGTGTGGGGGACGAGGAGCAGGCGCAGCACGGACGGCACCGCCGCGCGCCCCGCCCAAATGAAGTGGCACGCGCGCCCTGGCCCCTGCACGAAGGGGAGAGAGGCGGGGGGAGCCCACGTCGCGCAGCAGAAACAGAGAGGAGGAGGAGGAGGAGGAGGAGGAGGAGGAGGAGGAGGAGGAGGAGGAGGAGGAGGAGGAGGAGGAGGAGGGGGAGGAGGAGGGAGGATGGAGGTGGGCTGATTAGGCGGAGCGGAAGGAGGAGGAGGAGATCGGGTAGGACGAGGAGGTGAGGCATGCGTCCGATGACACCAGAAGGAGTCGGCGGATGAAGGCGGACTTAGGAGTATGGGCCGTGAGTGTAGGTGCGGGAGAGGCGATGTTGATGATGTGGTTGTGTGGGCAGTGGGGTGGTGGGGGCTGGTGCGGGGGGAGGTGGGGGGGTGGGGCCTCAAACAGAGGGGGTTCGACAAAGGAGGTATGTGTGAGGCGGGGGCAAGGTCCCTTGCCCCCGGGCACCACGGAGGGTACAGGGGGCGAGCAAATAAGTACGTCTCAGCCGCAGGCGCTCCCAGCCGCTCTGAAACGATTGATCGAGAGCTCTCTCTTGAGGCACAGCAAAGAAAGCAGGCAAAACAAAGACAAAAAAAAGCAAAAATATCAAAAAAGAAAACAAAGAGGAGAACAAGCATAGAAGAAGCAAAAGAAGACAAGGGGAAGAGGAGGAACAGAATCGTAGGAGAGGCCGCGCCCGCCCCCACGCGCGGCAGGCCCAGGCGCCTCTGGCGCCGCGAAGGGCCGCTCGCTGGGCCAGGCGCGGGTCCCCTCCAGGATCCGCGGAGGCGCCGACTGCGTATGGAGACGGGACCCGCCGCGGATCCCATCCCCGCGCCTTGATCCATGCTGGCCCGATCTCTTCCGTTGTGTTCGCAACGCGCCACGCAAATCCGACGAAGGCGACGGGCAAGCGGCACCTCGTCACGGGCCGGGCAGACGGCCCCCGTGATCCAAAAGAGTGCAGACGCAAAGAGGGGGAAGAGGAGCAGAGGGCAAGGGAACAGCATCTGCATGGGGCAGGCAGTGCTTTGCTTCGCAGTCGTGGATCGCCGTTTGTGGAGGCATGGAGATGGGTACCAACACCAACACAGGGGTCTGCCTCCACCAGGGGAAGATGGTCTTAGATTTTGGTGTTGGTGGTAAGCGTTCGGCCACCCAGAAGAAAAAATATTACCACCATCACCGAGATCGGGACCATCTTCCCTCGTCGGAGGCACACCACCGATGCTGGTGTTGGTGTCAGCCTCGAGGATTCCGACGTTTGCACTTCCTCGACCCTCCCCTCTCTGGGGTCCGAGTAGATGGGGTCGGAGGATCGCGCCGCATCGCCAATGCATCGCCGATGCATCGCCGATGCATCGGCGACGTCGGCGACGCATCGGCGGCGCATCGGCGGTGCATCGGCAACGTCGGCATGGAGAAAATCGGGCTCCGCATCGAGCCGTATCGCCGATGCGTCGGCGATGCGGCGTGATCCTCCGCCCCAATCTGCTCCGACCCCATGCCTGGGAGGCCTGGACGGTGCCAACCTCCTGGCCTCCGACGATCGTGCTTCCTCTAGAGAGCAGAAAATCCACCCTGCTGAGAACCACCCCGGCGCGCAAAGCTGTTCCGTAAACGCACCCGGAGAAGGAGTCGAACAGGGCAGGGCCGCCCAAGAAGCGCTCAGGGCCGCTCCCTAAACGCCAGCTGTCGGGTCCGGGTGGCTTTTCCCCCCTTTGATCCTCGATTCTCCCCTGAATACCTACCAGGCCACCCCAACCCAACCCGAAGACCCGAATTTGACCCGAATTTCGGGCTGGGAGGGGTACGGGTTCCATGTGCTTTTCCAGTGCCCCCCGACCCCCCCCCCCAACTGGAAATGCAGGGCAGATCGAAGCCTTCGGGTCGGGTTGGGGTGGTTTGGCGAGTGGTGATCCCCGCCGTCCACCCCCCCCGCCCGCCTGCAGGGGCTGCCTGGCGCGCTGGCCTCCGGGCTCGCCGCCGCGGGCGTGCCGCCGCCGAAGAACGGGCTCGCCCCGAGCGGCGCGCGGCCGCTCGCGAACGGGCCCGCCCTCGGCGGCGTGCGGCCGCCCGCGGGCGGGCTCGCCCCCAGCGGCGCGCGGTCGGCGAGAGGGCTCGCCGCCAGCGGCGTGCGGGCGCCTGCCCCCCCCCCCCCCAACGCTCCCCTCCTCCTCCCTCCTCTTCCTCTCTCCTCCCTCCTTCTGCGCCTCCGCCTCCTCCTCCTCCTCCTCCTCCTCCTCCTCCTCCTCCTCCTCCTCCTCCTCCTCTCCTCCTCCTCCTACCTCCTCCTCCTCCTCCTCCTCCTCCCCGCCACGCGGGGCCCGGCCCCCCGCCCCCGACCGCCGCGGAAGGCTCGGCGTGCAGGCACGGAGCGCGCCGGACCAGCCGCCGCTGCGGCCGGCGGAGGGAGGGGGGCCTCCCCGCAGCCCTGCCTAGACCCCCTCGCGCCCTCCCTTCTCTTTTTTCTCCCTCTCTCTCTCTCTCTCTCTCTCTCTTTCTCTCTTTCTCTCTCTCCTCCCCATCCTCCCCAAGCAGGCCCCATGCCAGAGGCTCGCTGTGGCCTTCCACAGCGACGCGCTGGTCCTCTCCGTCCCCTCCGCCTGCTCCGGCTACACCTCGGGCCTCTGGCCTTTCGGAACGATCCGGGCACCTCCGGAACGGCCTTGGCGGGGCGCAGCTGCTGGGGAGCACCCCGAGCCTGGAAAGCCGCCGAGAACCAACGAAGGCATTCGGAAGAGCTCGAACCCCGAATTTCCCCCACGTTGCCACCCTGACGTCGCCGCTGACCCCCCCGCAACCCCCCTCCTGAGAGGGGGCTGCCAGCGACTGCCCGCGCGCGCGCCCCAGCGGGCGCGGGGCTGCGCGGGCTGCCCGGATCTGCGGCGGCCGCCTCGGCCAGGCCCTGGCGCGGTTCACTCCTTGTGCTCCTGCCGAGGCCTCCTCGCCTCCACCCTCAACCTTCCTCCTCCTCCTCCCTCCTCCTCCTCCTCCTCCTCCTCCTCCTCCTCCTCCTCCTCGTCCTCCTCCTCCTCCGCCTCCTCCTCTTCTTCCTCCTCCTCCGCCTCCTCCACCTCCTCCTCCTCCGCCTCCTCCTCCTCCTCCATTCATGTTCCTTATGAATGACTCCTCCCTGTCGCAGTCCGAGGCCAGTCGAAGGGCGGGCCTGGCGTTTCGCCTGAGACTTCCTTGCCACTGAGGGCCCTACAGATGGAGGGCGGGTCGCTTCCAAAATGGGGCTCTCGCTCTAGCGCCGCGCACACTCGTTGTAAACAGTTCGTTGTAAACATGCGTTCTCGCCTTAGCGCCGCGCACATTCGTATTAGAACTGTGCAAGAGCTTCACGGATTGAGGGCAGGTCGTACTCACAATGTGGCTATCGCCTTAGCGCCGCGCACATTCGGTTTTTTTCAAACTGTGGTTCTCGCCTTAGCGCTGCGCACATTCGTAATACAAAATGCAAATGCTCTATTATTCTGATAGTATCACTATTAGTGTTAATCGTATTGTTCCTAGTTTCATTCGTATTACTAGTATTAATAGTATTAGTAGTGTCAGTGCTTGTGTTATGAACAATCTTCTTATTATTACTTATATTATGAGCAATTCTAGCAATAGTCTTCGCAAGACTTTTATTATTGAAATGATGAATAGTATTGTTAGTGTTATTCGTACTTGCGTTCGCGTTCTATATATAGTGTTACTACTGTTAAAAATACATGTCCTTCTTCCTCTTACTCATAGGATTACTCTTATTATTCATAATGTGATTGATATCGGTATGTATGTCAGCATTACTCATATTTCTGTGTTTCTTGTTTTTTAATTCGTCCTCGCCCTCGTTCCCATCCTCGTCGTCCTCCTCCTCTTCCTCCTCCTCCTCCGCCTCCTCCCCCCCTTCTCCATTCCTTATATATATATATATATATATATATATATATATATATGACCTCCCCGTCGCATCCCGAGGCTGGTCGAAAGGGCGGGCCGGGCGATTTGCCTGAGACGTCCTTACCAGTTTTGACCCTGGAAACGAGAATTGACAACAGCTTCGCATATGAACAGCGGACGGTTTCCGAGCACAATCGTATTATGAATGTGCCAGAATTTAAAACTGGAAACGTTGTTTCAAAATGTTGTTCTCGACTTAGCGCCGCGCACATCCGCTTCTAATTACAATAGGTTCGCGGATTGAGGACGGTTCCCTTTCAAACTACGGCTCTCGAGTTAGTGCCGCGCACACTCGTCTTCAACATTTGCTAAAGTTTCACCCGTTCCCATGGCTAACGTACGACAACTGGTACTTTGGAACGACTAACGACCGCCAGGGCGCAACAGGATTCACGGTGTTGAAGTCCCAAGAATCGTGTCTGGGCACCACTCAGGATCGCCAAGACGCAACAGCCAGGTTCGTTCGTGGTGTTGAAGTCCCGAAAACGTTGTCTGGCACGATTCGGGATCGTCGCCCGGTTGTTCTCCAACGGGGCACTTCCTACAGTGGAAATGAACCCTGTGCGGGGCCTACGAAAGGGAGTTTGGGGGAGGGTTTCATCCAACATGCTGCGGTTTTGGGTTGACACTGGTCATCCTCTTCTTCCTTTTCTCTTCCCCCTCCGCTCCTCATTCTCCTCCTCCTCGTCCTCTTCCTGAAATTGTAGCAGGAGGGCAACAGAACTTGAGCGTTGAGCCACAGCGGATGAAAATCATCATCGGCTCAGAACTAACCACGATGATCCCCTAGATTTCTGCTGTGCACAACGCTACGCACAGCGGTCACCCCACTTAATGATATAAAACATCAAAATACAGTTGCTGAACACACGCTCCTCACCCAAACGCATTGCCATGTTCTAACGCCCCCCCGGCAAAATTTGGCCGCATGAGGCGACGGGTGCAAAGCTCATATAAAACAAACTGGATATGAGTGAACTACATGATACAGGCGCGTGAAAAGTAAAACCGCATATAGTTACGACTGTTAAAACCAAGCTATAACATGCACCGTGGCGAATCGAAATGCGAAAAGCAAGTGGAGGCAAAACTGGCGCAGGGAAAAAGGCGACCACGCTTTGGGCGTAGGCTCGCATTCCGAAGACGCGATACACGATTCTTAACTGCCGCAAAGCACCAACTCATGCTGAATGGCTAACAGAGCCGGGAGTGTGCGCAAACGAAAACTTGGATCTCAACTGATCCTGAACTAAAGTCTCCGCCGAGGCGGCGCGCGACGATAACACGAAAATGAGCTCAGCAAACACTACGTTGCGGGCGCCAGCTCACGCCGTCCGCAAACAATGCATCGGCTGGTACCTGGCACGCGCATGGATAGATCGCCCCTGCGAACATACTTGGCGCAAAAGTCTGCACGATGCTCGCGCGTACCTGCTTTGATCGCTTTGATGTCTCCTCGCCGCGCCTTCCCTTGTCGCCAAAATTGACAAACCTCGACGTGTCTGACTTGTCATAGTCCTCGCCAACTCACATTAGCCATGGCCGCCCTAGCAGAACTCTGCAGTGCGATGCTTCAATCAACGGCGACATCTGTGTGAACTGCTCCTGGCCCCCGCGCTACTGATCCACCCTCCACTATTCCATAATACTCCGCTTCTCCAGACGATAACACCAATGCAACCTGAATCGAACTCAACGACTTCTTTTACGTGTTATATATATATATATATGTGAATACATGTATATATTTATGTATGTATATATGTGAGCGATATGACTGTATAAATGAATATATGTACATATATATAGAGACCTATACATACATACATATATATATATATATTCATTATATATATATATCGCAAATGCTCATCAACTTGATGATTCCCGTGTCCTTTTGCACCCAACAGAGCGAATGACGGTCCACAATGGTAACTTTGGAGGGCGCTCCTGGCACAAGTACTGATATTCACACCTGTCGCGACCCGCGACGTACTTGCCGAGCTCCACGAGGCCTTTTTCCAAGAGCCTCGGGTCGGACCTGACATAGAGCGCACAAGTTCCTTCGCCGACATCTGCATTTCTGAGCGGCCTCGCGCCAAATCTTTGGTCGCCCCCCTTTTAGTCGAACAGATTCCTCCACTGCTTCTTCTCCGTATTCTCTGCCTCTGTCTCTCGCTCTCTCTCTCTCTCTCTCGCTGTCTGTCTCTCTCTCTCGTTCGCCTCTCTCTCTCTCTCTCTCTCTCCCTCTCTTTTCTCCCTCTCTCTCTCTCTCTCTTTTTCTCTCTCTCTCTCTCTCTCTCTCTCTCTCTCTCTCTCTCTCTCTCCCCTCCCAATGGAAAACGCTGTGTGTTCTAGCTTTTCCCACGTTCCCAGCTTTCCCCAACCTACCCCATTGAAAAACGCTGAGTTTTCCGGCTCTTCCAGCTTTTCCAGCTTGTCCCAGAAACTACCTTAGCAAAAAACGGCACGTTTCCCCGCTCGCCCAACTTGCCCAGTTTTCCCAAGAGACGACACACTTAAAAAGCGCTGTCTTTTCCAGCTGCTCCAGCTTTCCCAACTTTTCCCAGAGACTAACCCATCGAAAAACGCTGCGTTTTCCAGTTTTCCCAGCTTGTCCCAGACACGACCGTACTGCGCAACCGTTGGGAAAAATTAGGAGAACTGGAAAAGCTGGGACACACAGCGTTGTTCACTAGGGCAGTGTCTGGGAAAAGCTGGAAAAGGTGCAAAAAATACAGTTTTCAATTGTTTAGTCTTTGTGAAAAGCTGGAAAAGCTGGAAGAAGCACAGCGTTGTCCAATGGGGCAATATCTGCGAAAAAACTGGAAAAGCTGAAACAGGTCGGAAAAACAGCACAGCGTTTTTCGATGGTGTAATAGTTCGGAGAAGCTGGAAAAGCTGGAGAAGCTGGAAACACACACAGTTGTTCAACGCTGGTAATATCTGGGAATAGCTGGAAAAAACTAGAAGCACAACGTTGTAAAATGCCCTCATCACCCCTCTCCCCTCCCCCTCTCTCTCTCTCTCTCTCTCTCTCTCTCTCTATATATGTATGTATATGTGTGTATATATATATGCATGTATGTATCGTCATCTCTCCCTCTCTCTTTATCTCTCTCTCTCTCTCTGTCTCGTTCTGCCCGAGCCCTGTCTCTGTCTGTCTCTCTCTCTCTCTCTTTCTCTTTCTCTCTTTCTCTCTCTCTCTCTCTCTCTCTCTCTCTCTGACCCATTTGAAAGCCTCACAACAGGAACCTTTTGGAAGAAAAAGCACAAAGGGATTATACTGGAAAGCCTCACTACAAGAGTCTGTTGGACAGCACCACAAACAACCAACAAAAAGCATTGGAAATCCTCGCAATCGGAATCCGTTGGAAAGCACCACAATTGGGATTACAGCGGAAAGCGGTGCAAACTGATGTTTGGGGGAAAGCTTCACATAAAGAAGTTTAGTGGAAAGTCTCACAACGAGAACCTTTTGGAAAATGCAACGCAGGGCCCCCACTGGAAAGCGTCATAAGAGGAATTCGCTTGAAAACTCCACAAAAGAATTCCATTGGAAAGTCTCACAATCGGAACCCCTTTTGCGGAGGGGTCTCACAAAGAGATTCCTGTTGCCGGGTTTTGCAATAGAATCCTTGCGCGGCGCTTTCCAAAAGATTCGTGCGACGAGGCTTTCCCATACAATCCCTTTGCGGTGTTTTCCCAAGGATCCCCGTTGTGAGGCTTTCCAGTGGAATCCTTCTTGCGGTGTTTAAAACAGGATTCCTGTTGGGAGGCTTTCCAAAGGAATTCCCTTGCGGCGCTTCCGAAAGGATTCCGACTGCGCGAGAAAGGGGGAGAGAGAGAGAGGAAGAGAGAAGAGGACGAGGAGGAGGAGGAGAAGGCGAAACGAGAAGAGGAAGGAATGGAAGTGCAATGGAAATGGACTGACTGCTTCGCGAAGCTTCACAACAGGAATCCGCTGAAAAGTACAACAACGGATTTCCACTGCAAAGCACCACAAAAGAATCCTTCTGGAAGCATCGCGCAAGGAATCCGACTAGCCCTCTGGGCGTCGGTGCTTTAGGGCGTTTCCTCTTCCACCCCTCCTTCTTCCCCTTCGGGGAGGCGGCGGCGGCGGCGGGGGCGGCGGCGGGGGCGGCGGCTGCGGCGGCGGCGGCGGCGGCGGCGGTGGCGGTGGCGGCAACGGCTGCGGCTGCGGCGGCGGTTTGGCAGCGGGGGGCGGCGGCGGCGGCGGCGGCGGCGGCGGCGGCGGCGGCAGGCGGCGGCGGCGGCGGCGGATTGGCCCCCAGTAGCTGCCCATCCAAAGACGACTGCTGAATATGCTGAGGCTCGGGCCAGACTCGGGTGCTACGTATGTGTTGGGATGGCGGGTGGGAGTGAGCGAGACGGCTTGCGGGCGGGGAGGGGGTCCTGACCCCTCCCCCTACCCCCTCCCCGTGGACCTGGAGGGGGGGGGCCGCGAGGTGTCAGAGCGTCCAAAACGGCCTCGGCGAGGAAGCCAAAATCATTGATGTTAGTATGGTTGTGGCCCCATTTGGGCCTCCTGGGGGGGCGAGGCTAATTAATGCTCCGCACTTCTTTGATAGATCTCCTCCAAGATGGCCCCAAGAAGCGCCCAGGAGGCCCCAAGAGGTCCCAAGATGGCCCCAAGATGGCCCCAAGAGGCCCCCAAGAGGCCCCCAAGAGGCCCCCAAGAATCTACCGGAATCCCACCAGCCCTCTGGGCGTCGGTGGTTTAGAGCGTTTCCTCTTCCACCCCTCCCTCTTCCCCTGCGGGGAGGGGTTTACCCGTCCCCCTACCCCATCCCCACTGACCTGGACAGGAGGGGCGGGGAGCGGTCAGAGCGTCCAAAACGGCCTCGGCGAGGAAGCCAAAATCATTGATTTTACTACGGTTTTGGCCCCATTTTGGCCTTCTGAGGGGGCAGGGCTAGTTAAAGCTCCCCTCTTCTTTGATCGATTTCCTCTACGATGGCCGCAAGAGGCCCCCAGGATGCCCCAAGAGGCCGCAGGATGGCCCCCAAGATGGCCCCAAGAGGCCCCCCCAGAGGCCCCCAGGAGGCCCCCGAGAGACCCCCAAGAGGCCACAAGAGACCCCCCAGAGGCACCCAAGGCCCCAAGATGGCCCCAAGAGGCCCCAAGAGGCCCCCAGGAGGCCCCAAAGAGGATCCCGAACGGCCCACAGAGGCCCCCCCGAGGCACCCAAGACGCCAAAAAGCCCCTCAGGACGACCCTCTACTCGCCTGGGCGTCGTTTCTGGACGGGCTAGTGGGGATACGCGAAGCGTCTAGAATTCCCCACATAAGGCTGAGGCGGGGCCTCCGCTGGACGGGTGGACCGGGCACGAAACCTAGGAGGCAGCACGGTATCTGAGCGCCCTCGCCGCTCAGGGGAGGCATCTTTGGAGACACGGGAGGGCACGAAACCTGCGAAATGCAACGAATAATAGCGCTCGGCAGCGAGCTCTTTTGCAGCGCAGAGAAGCTTTTGGGGCGAGCAAGAGCAGGAAAGCCGAAACACTGGGACGGAAGGAGAAGAGGAAGAAGAAGAGGAAAGGCAGACAATAGCGAGAATGACGATGGTAATTGCGGGTGCGTGGGGTGACGTAGACGGCCTTCGGCGCTCCTCCACCTCCGCCTCCTCCTCCTCCTCCTCCTCCTCCTCCTCCTTCTTCGTCCTCCTCCTCCTCCTCCTCCTCCTCCTCCTCCTCCTCCTCCTCCTCCTCCTCCTCCTCCTCCGCCTCCGCCTCCGCCTCCGCCTCCGCCTCCTCCTTCCTCCTCCTCCTCCTCCTCCTCCTCCTCCTCCTCCTCCTCCTCCTCCTCCTCCTCCTCCTCCTCCTCCTCCTCCTCCTCCTCCTCCTCCTCCTCCTCCTCCTCCTCCTCCTCATGGCCATCGCACGAAACCTGATAAATCACATGGTATCCGAATACTGTCCTCGCTCAGGCGAGGCCTCTCTGGAGGGGCGGTAGGGGCGGTGGGAGGGGCACGTAACCTGATAAATCATATGGTATGCGGATACTGTCCTCGCTCAGGCGGGGCCTCCCTGGACGGGTGGGAGGGGCGCGTAACCTGATAAATCACATGGTATCCGAATACTGTCCTCGCTCAGGCGGGGCCTCCCTGGACGGGTGGGAGGGGCGGTGGGAGAGGCACGAAACCTGATAAATCACATGGTATCCGAATACCCTCCACGCTCAGGCGGGGCTTCCCTGGACGGGTGGGAGGGGCACGTAACCTGATAAATCACATGGTATCCGAATACTGTCCTCGCTCAGGCGGGGCCTCCCTGGACGGGTGGGAGGGGCACGTAACCTGATAAATCACATGGTATCCGAATACTGTCCTCGCTCAGGCGGGGCATCCCTGGACGGGTGGGAGGGGCACGTAACCTGATAAATCACATGGTATCCGAATACTGTCCTCCCTCGCTCAGGCGGGACCTCCCTGGAGGGGTGGGAGGCGCACGTAACCTGATAGATCACATGGTATCCGAATACTGTCCTCGCTCAGGCGGGGCCTCCCTGGAGGGGTGGGAGGGGCGCGTAACCTAAGAATTCGCATGGTATCCGAATACGGTCCTCGCTCAGGCGGGGCCTCCCTGGAGGGGTGGGAGGGGCGCGTATCCCGATGAATCACATGGTATCCGAATACTGTCCTCGCTCAGGCGGGGCCTCCCTGGACGGGTGGGAGGGACACGTAACCTGATAAATCACATGGTATCCGAATAACTACTGTCCTCGCTCAGGCGGGGCCTCCCTGGACGGGTGGGAGGGGCACGTAACCCGATAAATCACATGGTATCCGAATACTGTCCTCGCTCAGGCGGGGCCTCCCTGGACGGGTGAGAGGGGCATGTAATCTGATCAATCACATGGTATCCGAATACTGTCCTCGCTCAAGCGGGGCCTCCCTGGAGGGGTGGGAGGGGCGATGGGAGGGGCACGTAACCTGATAAATCACATGGTATCCGAATACTGTCCTCGCTCAGGCGGGGTCTACCGGGAGGGTGGGAGGATTACAAAATCATACGAAATCATATGATATGGTGCTGCAGGATATCTTATAGTATTGTATGGTATGGTATGGTATGGTTTTGCGATGGCATGTGGAACAGGAAGCGGGAGAAGGAGAAGGAGAAGGAGAGGGTGTTCTTGGAAAACAAGAACCACACTCAGGATGTGGGGAATTAGTGTTTGCCAGTCTGTCAAATGAGACCGTGCTGATCACACTTGGGCGCATGTCGAAAGCACACAACTTGCACTCAAAGAATTGCACCATATAGCGTACACACTCAGAAGGCAGCATATCACAGCTTGGGGTCCACGCTGGCGAACATGATTTTCTCGACCGCGAAGATACTCTGGCACACTCGTTCCCAGCCAGCTTGTATACCGACTAAGCCAACCTCCACCCCGCGCAGAGCGCACGTTCCCCGTCTCGGAGGGCGCCGCGCGGGGGCTCTGCGCAGCAGGGCTGTACGAGCTCGCAGGGCTGTGCGAGGCGCCAGTCCAGAACACACCATCAGCTCAGCTGTAAAGGATGGTGCTCCTCAGCATCTGGAAACGACAGATGTTGGAGGCCTGGAAATGGGCACCAACCCCAGCACAGGGGTTTGCCTCCACAGGGGGAAGATGATCCTAGATCTCGGTGTTGGTGGCACTAGTTCGGTCACCTTGGAAGCCAGAATATTGCCACCATCACCGAGATCGGGATTTTCCTCCCTCGGTGGAGGCACACCGCCGATATTTTGGATGCTCGTTCTGGGGACCTTCCTGGAGCCACTCGCTCCACTCGTGCGTCGAAGCTGCGTCGAACGTCAGTCGAGTTGGGTCGACCCTGAGTCGAACCTGAGTCGAACCTGAGTCGAACTTGAGTCGAACTTGAGTCGAACTTGAGTCGAACAGATCCGTTAGGTGGGCTCCAGGAAGGTCCCCGAAACGAGCATCGAAGATATTGGTGCTGCTGTCAATCTCCAGGCTTGCGAAGATGGGCCGCCCTCCGTGGGTCTCGCCGCAGCCGGCCCGCCTCCGCGGCGCGGCCGATCGCGGCCCGTGGAGCGCGCCGTGGGGCCCCGCCGCGCATGTGCTGGCGGCGCGCAGAGGGGGGCAGTGGGAGGGGGGAAGGCTTAGGAGGCTGCTTCTTCGAAGGCGCCGGCCTTCCATTTGGAGACGAGGCCCGCGCATTCTGAGAAGCAGGGGTGCTTCTGAGAGGCCCTCCCCCCTCCCCCTGCCCCCCCTCTGCGCGCCGCCAGATGTGGCGGCGGGGCGGGCCCTGCGGAGCCACGCGCGGACCTGTGCGGCGCACCCCCTCGACGTGCTGTCTAGCGGGGGCGCGCGGCCCCGCGGTGGCTCCCGCGCCAGGGACCCCCCTGCCCGTGCGCTCCGCCGGCCCGCGCCGCACCCAGCCTGCCGCCGGCCTGCCCCGCTCGGCCTCCTCCTCCTCCTCCTCCTCCTCCTCCTCCTCCTCCTCCTCCGCCTCCTCCTCCTTCCTCCTCCTCCTCCTCCTCCTCCTCCTCCTCCTCCTCCTCCCTCCTCCTCCTCCTCCTCCTCCTCCTCCTCCTCCTCCTCCTCCTCCTCTCCTCCTCCTCCTCCTCCTCCTCCTCCTCCTCTCCTCCTCCTCCTCCTCCTCCTCCTCCTCCTCTCCTCCTCCTCCTCCTCCTCCTCCTCCTCCTCCTCCTCCTCCTCCTCTCTCCTCCTCTCCCCCTCCCCTCCTCCTCCTCCTCCTCCTCCTCCCCCCTCCTCCTCCTCCTCCTCCTCCTCCTCATCCTCCTCCTCCTCCTCCTCCTCCTCCTCCTCCTCCTCCTCCTCCTCCTCCTCCTCCTCCTCCTGTGCCCTGCCAGCGCTACTGCGGAGGTGCGCACGCACACTGGCCGGCGCAGGCCTCGTTGACGATGTCGTACGACAGCTGCACCGGCTGCCCGTTGCTCAGGATCCAGTCGACACGGTTCCGGCACGAGTCGGAGCCGCCGTACATCATGTTCCCGCTGTACTCGCACTGCGCGTCGCACTCGCCCGTGGGGCTCGGTGACGGCGCCTGGCAGGAGCACTGCCCGGTGCACTCCTCGTTGACCTGGCTCGTGGCCGCCGCCGCACTCTTGCCGCCATGCTCGACCAGCCAGCTGATGCGACCGCGGCACGAATGCGAGCCACCATTGTAGTCGCAAGGCGCGTCGCAGCCTCCATCCGACGTAGGTGGTACCATGGGCACCAGCGTGGTGCCCGAAGTCGGTGCTGGCGTAGATGCGGCCGGAAGTGCGCACGCACATTGGCCGGCGCAGGCCTCGTTGACGATCTCGTACGACAGCTGCACCGGCTGCCCGTTGCTCAGGATCCAGTCGACACGGTTCCGGCACGAGTCGGAACCACCGTACATCATGTTCCCGCTGTACTCGCACTGCGCGTCGCACTCGCCTGTGGGACTCGGCGAAGTCGGAGCTGGCGTAGATGTCGCGAAAGGTGCTGCTGTGGGCGCTGGCGTGATGCCCGAAGTCGGTGCTGGCGTAGATGTGGCGGAGGGCTCTGGCGCCTGGCAGGAGCACTGCCCGCTGCACTCCTCGTTGACCTGGCTCGTGGCCGCCGCCGCACTCTTGCCGCCGTGCTCGACCAGCCAGCTGATGCGGCCGCGGCACGAATGCGAGCCACCGTTGTAGTTGCAAGGCGCGTCGCAGCCCCCTTCTGGCAGTGTGGGCTCCACAGCGCCGTGCTGCACCGGAACGTACTGGCGCCGGCGCCGCCGGTGGGCCCGCTCCAAAGTGGTAGCCTCCGCCTGCCCGGCCAACCAACGGAATTTCTGCCCGCAGTCTCCCAGGGCTGCTCCCGTCTCGGGCCCCGTCTGGCCGCTGGCAACGAAGCGCCGGTCCGAGTCCGCGGCGGCTGTGCAAGAGACTTGGCCCCGGTCGGTGACCAGGGTGAGGGTCACGGCCTCGGCGGCGTTGCCCAAGCTCTGCGACGCGTGGGGGTCTGAGAACTCGACGATGATGTCGCCAGGCTGGCCGGCGTCTGGCAGCCACCGGAGGCCTTCCACGGTGTAGCTGGCCCCAGCAACCACCGGGGCCGCATAGCTGCCCTGGTTGTTCCACGTGCGGCTGGGGTCGTGGAAGGGGGGGGTCCACCAGAGGCTGCCAGCGTTCATGCCGAATGTAGGCTCAGAGTCGTCACGACTGACACCTTCATAGCCAGGACCGCGAATGGTGATGCGCCCGAAATTGGGACCGAATATGTTCAAGCGGCGAACCGGAGTGGTCTTCGCGCAGCCAAAACCTCCACCCCACTTGCCGAGGGGGCCCTGGCATCCAGGCACGAGCGCGAAGCCGTTCAGGTGCGGGCTGACAATCGCTCCGTAGCCGTCCAGAGACTCGTCGGCCGCCACCCACAGGATCCGGACCGGATCGCCGTCGCTGCTGCCGAAGTTGATCACCTGCGCGCCACTGTCCCTGACCCAGCCGTACATGTGCGTCGTGGAGTCCAGGCCCACCAGGTGGTTCTGCACGTTGCAGGTCATGCCCTGGAGGGGGCCGCCCAGGTCGGGGCTGCCGAAGCAGTGCTGGGGGGAGTGGAGCTGCGCCCGTCCAGCCAGGGTCACGCCCTCCATGGTGAAGGTGAAGGCCCCCCCGGGGAGCCGAGCGGTAGTGTCCGCGAAGACGGAGTCGCGGATGTGAACGGCGGTCGGGTCGGCGAAATTCTTCGACCGCTTCCAATACATGCCCGTGTTGCAATCGACCGCCCTGAAGCGCAGGTACATGATGTCGCCGGCCGTGTACTGGCCAACGAAATCGTTGTGGTAGTCCAGGCAGTCCTCCACCACAGACGCTGGGACCACCCCGTTGTCCCTGCCATCGGGCGTGAGTTCCTGCCAGCACCTCTGCATGTCGATGACGTAGCCGTTCTCGTCGCGGGGGCCCACGTTCCGCGGGAACTGGTTGTCTGGGTAGATGCCGAAGTAGGAGTTGTCGTGATTGACGTTCCCGCGCATGATCCCGTACGGAAGGTGCCTCGGGCAGACCTTCCCGTGTGCTTCCCCCTCGCCAAGGTGGTGGAGGCCGCCCGGTGTGAAGAGGCCGTGCTGATGACCGACAATGTGGTTGCCGATAACGTCGTTGGTCACGCCAACCATGTAGATGCCCACGCCCTCGCCTGCGTTCGCGCCCTTTACGATGCAGTAAGGACCGCTGGGGCCCCCGCTGCGCTTCGAATCGTCCCAGTAAGGGCATATGATTGTGTTGTGGCTGATCGTGTTGTTCATCTCGTTCCCGTCCTCCGTGTAGATCCCGACCCCTCTGTTCATCCAGAGGACGTTGGAGTCGACAGTGGTCCGGTGGGTCCCATGAATGGTGATGCCCGACTGGAAGGACTCGACAATGGCGTTGCCCTGGAAGATGCACTCCGGGCACTGCCCCAGCAGGTGGAAGTGCAGACAGTAGCGGCCCTTGATGCCGTTCTGGCCGCAGTACTCCACCCTCGCGTGACGCACCACTCCCACACTGCCTGGCCCCATCATCACGTGCAGTCCTTGGCGCGTGGCGAGGAAGTCCTGGTGGTCCCCGGTGATGAGCACGGAGCGCTCCATGTTCACCACCTCGGCGGCGAGCTCGAACTGCTGCCCCTCGACGTCCTTCATGCCGCCCATCCGCGCGGCCCGGAGCGGTGGCGACACGCGGAGCCCGGAGGGCAGCAGCTCCACGATGGTGTGCTCGCTGGAGTCGCTCTGGCGGGCCCGCGTGGTGGCCACGCCGACGCGGTCCCCGACGCGCCAGCCCATGTCTCCCGGGTCGTGCTTCAGGGCCAGCTGCGAGGAGCCCTGGGCGGCACCGCTGGAGAGCAGGGACATCGTGCGCGCCAGGGGGCGGCCGTGTATCTCGATGCGGGAGCTGCCCCTGCTGCCGACGAAGCGGCTGCCCATGGGTCCGGAGAGCGACCCGCACTGCTTGATGTAGATGGTGGCCCTCAGCTCCATCGGCGCGTCCGTGGTGCCTATCTCGAGCAGGCCTCCGTCCTCCACCATGACGTGGCAGGCGCGCAGTTCCAGCCCGTCCTTCGCCGTATCCCACCTCAACTCCCCTCGAATGGTGAGCGACTCGACGTCGATGCTGGCGTCCAGCACCCACGCGGCGCCGGCGGGCACCTCGCACCGCGACCCGGGGGCGCACGCCGCCGATGCCCGGAGGCTGCGATGCGCGAGCTGCGCCCCGAGCTGGACCAGCTGCACGCCGGGCGGGCTGCCAGGCACGCGGTTGGCCCACGTCCGCCCCGCGCTGGCGCTGTGGTTCGCCAGCCTGGCTCCGAGGCTGCACAGGCGGTCGGCGCCGATGGTTCCCCCGGCGCGGGGGCCTGCGGCGCCGAGGGCTCCCACGGCGGAGGCGGCGGCAGCGAGGGCCGCCGAGAGGGCGAGCATGGGCCCTCGCTGGGGTTGGGGTCGGACCGCGCGCTCTTGGCACGGGGCGGGCGCGGCGCCCTTGGGGCAGATCCCGGCTCTCTGGACCAGACACGGCTTGAGCCAAAGGCTACGGAGGCGTCAAGAATTCCTTTGGAAAGCCTCGCAACAGGAATCCAGTGGGAGGCACCACCGAGGAATTCGATTGGAAAGCTTCGTAAACGGAACCTTGACGAAAACAATTCAAATTGACTCCATGAGAAATCCTGACAATCGGGATCTTTAGGAAGCACCACAGACAGATTCCATTAGAAAACCTCACAACAGGAAGTCTTAAGAACCAAAGGGATTCGATCGGAAAGCCTCACAGCAGGAATCAGCTGACAAGCCTCACCAAAAAAATACGAACTCAGATCCTCACAATCGGAATCCTTGGGAAAGCAAAACAAAAGGAGAACGAGGAAGAGAAAGAGAATGAGGACAAGAATGAGGATACTGAAGAGAATGAGGAGAAGAGAAAGAATAAAGAATAATGAAGAAAATGAGGAGGAGAATGAATAGAGTCAGAATGAGGAGAACGGGGAGAAGGATGAAGAGGAGAACGATGAGGAGAAAGGGAAAGAGGAAGAGGATGAGAGAGGAGGCGAAAGTATGATCATAGGGAGCGGCGCGATCATAGTTGGCCCGAATCACTGATAACCGGCATGTCTTAACTTCTCGTTCCGGCTAGGGGGCTCATCTTCTTTTACGCAAAAATGCTTTACACCTGGCACCTCGCACCTCTCTTTCAAAATGTCTCTGACCCGCCTCATGCCGTGGCCCATCATGGTTATGTTTCACTGTTCGGCTGAAAAACCTGATCGATCTCAAATATTTTGGCCATGGCCCGAGCCGCCCCGAATGTAAACTTCGAGTTTCTTATTGACGTCTCATTCGAACCCGTCCAAACCCATGTCATCACTCAATAAAGTATACTCGCATCCGTGAATTTTTAACCAAAAACGCCGTGCCACACGTGTAAATGCACATGGTGACGCTTTCCCGTCGCCAAGGCCAACGCCAACTGCAAAATCAAAATAACAGTCCCCTGTTCCCCCCGTTGCTGGCGGCACCCCGAGCGCCGCACATAGACTTCAACGGTCTTCAAAGCAAGCCCGGTGCACGGTTTTCTTCGGGCAACCGGATGAACATGTTTTTTCTTGGCCTTGGCATAAAAGCGCGCCCGCTTAACATCTACGCATGCCAGCTGGAATCCTTGCTCACGCGCCCCTAGGGTAAGTCCCATGACCTTTGCAAGTGCCACGGCGAAAAACAGTTTCTGAGTTTCCCATGGAATGGTGGCTACGAGTATATTCTGTCCTTTGGAATTGCGATGATTCGCTGGGCCGCCAGCCAGGATCTGCACTCAGGATTGGCCTCGTCAGCCTTGCTGATATGACTCCCCATCGTAAACTGGTGCCCAAGTCTCGAGAAACTCCGCGCAGGCACGCGCTCCATCATGGCACGAGACGCGATGTGTCATGACGTTTTCTGGTCCAGGTTTACACGGGCCCATTTCCATTTTCGTTCGGCCCGCGCTCTATATCTCACTAATTTCCCTGATTTCGTCGGGTTCGATCCCATCGACCTCGGAGTCACAAAACCTGAATGAGCACCCGAATCCGTCATCGGCCGCCATCCGATGATCTGGGCCTGAAGGCAAGCTAGCACGACAGAGTCGGTCTGGATATATATATATATATATATATATACATATATGTACATCTATATATACATACATACATACATACATACATACATACATACATACATACATACATACATACATACATAAACAAAAATGTATGCAAACATGTATATATGATCTCCTCGTTTCGCCTTCTCTGGTTAACTCAATATGCCCGCGCTGGCCTTGACATTTCGCGCCGCGGGCTCTTCCGACGCAGGCGCTGCTAGCCATGAACAGCGCGGGTTTTGCATGAACCCTCCGTCCCTTCTAAGACCTGATTCGGGTTATAACAGCGCGAATGTCCTTCGCACGTCTGAACTTCGTCGCACCTTAACATGCTATTCATTGGCGACGCGGTCCATCTCGAGGCCCCCCAAACGAATTCGAAGAGACAATGCACCATTATTCTCTGGGCACCACAGAGTTCCAATGCAAACTTGAAGCACTCAACACCGTAACCGCTAATTTCCCTCATCTGGTCCGGCCCAAGCCTTTTCGAACTGAAGGCTTGTAGTCTGCTGAAGGCTGCGCACATTGGACTCGCAATGAGCATCAAGGCTGCGCTACTCTTGATTATTTGATCTGCATTTGTTAGCATCGCCCCACAGTTAAAGTGCCAAGGGTTTCCATACTGGCCCAAGGCTACCCCTGGTACGAGTCGGGCCGCTGCCACCCCCGCCCCTCCAGACTGCGCTAGGGGGCGCCGCAACACCGCCCGCGCGCTCTCCATGCGCAGGGAGACGGAAAGTCGCTGGGCGTGGTCTGCAACGACGTCAGCCACCCGCTTGGCTAGGACCCCGAAGGCCCTGCTTGCCTCACGGCCCCACCCGCCGCAGTGGGCTTCCACCACCATGGGGTGGAAGGTAAAGCCTTGCGACGCGTAACACAAGGCGGTATCCTGGTGCTGCCTCGTGGACTCCTCGCACCGCCCCGTCGCCGCTTTCGACGGACCGGCCGACTCGGCGAGGAGATCACGCGCAAGTCCCAGGCGACCGCCGTGCCGTTGCGCCACCGTGGAAGGTAGACGTCGGCAGGGCGGCGGCAAGACCTGCCGGGGGTGACCTCCCTGGCGAGGCGCGGGGTCAGTCCCCCGCGGCAAACCGAAGTTCTAGTTTTTGAAGGATTTGGGTATTTGCTTCGTTCTGGCCTTCCGACCGCCCAAGACGGCCCATAAGGCCTCCAAGATCGCCCCCACAGCGCCCGAGAGGCCTTCAAGATGGCCCTATAACGGCCCCAAGACGGCCAAGACGCACAAAATGGCCTCCAAGACGGCCCTGGACCGACCTTAGAAAGCCCGAAGACGGCACAGAGAGACCCCCAAGACGGCTTCCGACTGCGTCAGAGGTACCAGGAACGCAGTTCGACGGCCGAAGAGGACCTCAAGAAGCACACAAACGCCACGAGAGGCCCGAGGAGGCCTCCAAGAAGCCTCCACGAGACCCCGATGAAGCCCCTAGGAGGCTCCAAGAGTGCCCCAGTAGGCTCCGTTGAAAAATAAGAAGAAGAAGAAGAAGAAGAAAAAAAAAAAAGAAGAAGAAGAAGAAGAAGAAGATGATGATGATGATGATGATGATGATGATGATGATGATGCGGAGGAAGCAGAAAAATAGCGTTAATAATAAGGACCATGATAAAAGTAATAATAATGTCCATAATCATATGCATCCTAATAATCATAAATAGTAATACTACTAATAATGATACCATCAATAACAAAAAGAATAAGAATAATACGAATAATGATAACAGTAGTATAAACAATAATGGTAGGTATAGTAGCAGTGGTAGTAGCAACCGTAGTAGCAGTATTGTCAACTCAGATATTCCCAACTGCCCTGTGTTGGGTACTCGTTTTGAATAGAGCAGTGTGGTCGCCCCGTCCTCACTCCTGCTTCCTCCTCCACTCTCCTCACCTCCTCCTTCTCTCCTGTTTCCTGTATTCCCCTCTCCACTTCTCTCGTGCCGCGTCGGGCTGCGATCTGCGAAACTGTCGGCATTTTCGTGGGCTCCTGGGAGGTCCAGCGGAGGTACGTCATACGCAGATCACCACTATAGCTCGCGGTGCCCAGGGGGGCTGCGGTCTGCGAAACTGTCGGCACTTTCATGGGCTCCTGGGAGCCCAGCGGAGGTACGTTGTACGCAGATCACCACTATAGCTCGCGGTGCCCTGGGGGGCTGCGTTCTGCGAAGCTGTCGGCACTTTCGTGGGCTCCTGGGAGGCCCAGCGGAGGTACGTCATACGCAGATCACCACTATAGCTCGCGGTGCCCTGGGGGCTGCGATCTGCGAAACTGTCGGCATTTTCGTAGGTTCCTGGGAGGCCCAGCGGAGGTACGTCATATGCAGATCACCACTATAGCTCGCGGTGCCCTGGGGGGCTGCGATCTGAGAAAATGTCGGCACTTTCGTGGGCTCCTGGGAGGCCCAGCAGAGGTACGTCATAGGCAGATCACCACTATAGCTCGCGGTGCCATGGGTGGCTGCAATCTGCGAAACTGTCGGCACTTTCGTGGGCTCCTGGGAGGCCCGGCGGAGGTACGTCATGCGCGGACCACCACTATAGCTCGCGGTGCCCTGGGGGGCTGCGATCTGCGAAGCTGTCGGCACTTTCGTGGCTCCTGGGAGGCCCAACGGAGGTACGTCATGCGCGGACCACCACTATAGCTCGCGGTGCCCTGAGGGGCTGCGATCTGCGAAAATGTTGGCACTTTCGCAGGTTCCTGGGAGGCCCAGCGGAGGTGCGTCATACACAGATCACCACTATAGCTCGCGGTGCCCTGGGGGGGCTGCGATCTGCGAAGCTGTCGGCACTTTCGTAGGCTCCTGGGAGGCCCAACGGAGGTACGTCATACGCAGATCACCACTGTAGCTCACGGTGCCCAGGGGGGCTGCGATCTGCGAAACTGTCGGCACGTTCGTGGGCTCCTGGGAGGCCCATCGGAGGTACTTCATACGCAGATCACCACTATAGCTCACGGTGCCCAAGGGGGCTGCGATCTGCGAAACTGTCGGCACTTTCGTGGGCTCCTGGGAGGCCCAGTGGAGGTAGTTCATACGCAGATCACCACTATAGCTCGCGGTGCCCTCGGGGGCTGCGATCTGCGAAACTGTCGGCATTTTCGTAGGTTCCTGGGAGGCCCAGCGGAGGCACGTCATACATAAATAGCCACTATAGCTCGCGGTGCCCTGGGGGGCTGCGATCTGCGAAACTGTCGGCACTTTTGTGGGCTCCTGGGAGGCCCAGCGGAGGTGCGTCATACGCAGATCACCACTATAGCTCGCGGTGCCCTGGGGGGCTGCGATCTGCGAAACTGTCGGCACTTTCGTGGGCTCCTGGGAGGCCCAGCGGAGGTAATTCATACGCAGATCTCCACTATAGCTCGCGGTGCCCTGGGGGGCTGCGATCTGCGAAGCTGTCGGCACTTTCGTGGGCTCCTGGGAGGCCCGGCGGAGGTACGTCATACGCAGATCACCACTATAGCTCATGGTGCCCTGGGGGGCTGCGATCTGCGAAACTGTCGGCACTTTTGTGGGCTCCTGGGAGCCCCAGCGGAGGTACGTCATATGCAGATCACCACTATAGCTCGCGGTGCCCTGGGGGGCTGCGATCTGAGAAAATGTCGGCACTTTCGTGGACTCCTGGGAGGCCCAGCGGAGGCACGTCATACGCGGACCACAACAAACGCCCCTTGCGTGTCTGATTGTATTTTCGCCACTGCTCTTTTTGCTGCGCCCTTCTGAAATCGCTGCTGGGCGCTCTTCTTGCGCACTGCGAGCTTTTCAGAATGCCAGTCAACATTGAGTGGTCCTGAGTGTACTCGCCACATGTATATGTATAGCAAGGGTTGGGTCCGTCGCAAGGTAATCTTTATTAACATCGACAGTCAGTCTGAACATTAGTATTAGTAGTAATAGTTTTATCCGCCGACCCCTTGTGGGTCTCTAGGCGCGTGAGAATTTGTCCCCCCCATCATCCCGCCCCAGGGACCCCCAACCGGCAACTCGACCCCCCCCCCCCTCGCCCAGCGCGACCCCGGACCGAACGCGCCACGGGGGAACAGAGGGCTCCCACGCTGACGCAGCGCGCTCGGAGGGAAAATTGAGGATCGAAGCTCCTTGGGCGCCTCTGGGCGTCTCCGGGGGGTCCTGGGAGGTGCGCTCCGGGGTCCAGGAGGGTCCGCTCCTCCTGGAGGAGCCCGCGGCCACTGTGGCGCCTCCCCCAGCAGATCCTGGAGGAAAGGGGGGGAGGGAGGGGGAGAGGGAGGGGAGGAAGGGGAAGAGGGAGAGGAGGAGGGAGAGAGGGAGGGAGGGAGGGAGGAAGGGAGAGAGGGAGAATTGGAGGGAGGGAGAGAGGGAGAGAGGGAGGGAGGGAGGGAGGGGGGGAGGGAGGGAGAGAGGAAGGGAGGGAGGGAGGGGCGCGGGCGGATCCACGCTCTGCAAGGCCACTGCCCACGCACAGCGCCGGCCCTGCTCCTCCCGACCCCAGCTCGCCCACCACGCCGCACCCTCTCCTGCCCCGTGGCCCACGCCGGCAGGCTGGAGCGCGACGGCGGAGCAGGGGGGGGGGTCGAGCACCCTCGGGGGGAGGAGGGAGCAAACTGCAGCAGACACCGGCTAGACAGGCCCGTGCAAGTGAGAAGCGCGAAAGACAGAAGCGCACGAATGAGGACCCCCTCAGTGGTGACCCCCTGAGGGATGACCCCCTGACCCACTCAGCGGCGACCATCTTAGTGGTCAGCCCCTTGACACTACCTGGAGGGAGAGGAAGGAAACCGGTCGGTAGCAACTTGCGGGAGCCTCCCATGCCATCTTGCTGGCTCTTTCGCATCGACGCTACTCGACGCGAATCGACGCTAATCGACGCAATTCGGCGATAGCCGACACTGAACCGACGCTAATCGGCGCTGAATCGGCACTTTCTCATCGACTGCCACCAGACGCCAGCGCACGCTGATGCACTCCGAAGATGGAACTGCGAGGACACACGAGGCCCCCTGCTACCGAAGAGAAAGGTACGATACGATACGATCTGCCCGTCGGATGGCGGGCAACACTCAGCAGCACCACAGACTAGGGAAGCTCGAGCACCCAGGCCTTCGCCTCTAGGAGGAGGAGGAGGAGGAGGAGGAGGAGGAGGCGGAGGAGGAGGAGGAGGCGGAGGAGGAGGAGGAGGAGGCGGAGGAGGCGGAGGAGGAGGAGGAGGAGGAGGAGGAGGCGGAGGAGGAGGAGGCGGAGGAGGAGGAGGAGGAGGAGGAGGAGGACTCGTTTCCGGAATCCACCCCCAGCTGGCCCCAACAGATGACACGGCCCCGGCAGACCCAGTGCAGGTTCCAGGGAAGGGGGAGACTGCAGGGGCCCTGAGACACGCAAATAAATACACACAAAGAAAAGGATTCCCCATATTTTCCCATATGTTCTGGGTTGTTGTCTTCCCCCCCCCACACTTCCCATATTTTCCCATATTTTCTTGGGAATCGACGATGAATTGTGTGTGTCTGTGTGTTTTTTCCCCTCCTGAGAGACCGTGAGGAAGGCCAGGGTGGAAGGTAGAAGACATGGCGGCAACGGTAGCATGAGAGACAACAAAGCTCGGGCCGGGCGAAGGGGGGGATAGCAAAGGGGGGTTTGGAATCAGCTCACGTAGCCGATTTTCCCGGCGCCTCCCGGCGCCAGAGGCGGCTGTGCATCGAGGAATGGGCCCCTCGGTGGGGCCGAAACCAGCTGCATGCAGCAGATTTCGTACCCCCCCCCTGTCCCAATCCCCCCCCTGTCGTCCGGACCAAAAAAGCGCAGGGTCCGTACCCTTCCACACAAGATAGACGGCGTGCGCCCTGGAGGCCAAAAATGACGGCGGGCGCGCACGCGTGCTTCGCACTCGAGGAGGAGCAGGAGGAGGAGGAGGAGGAGGAGGAGGAGGAGGAGGAGGAGGAGGAGGAGGAAGGAGGGAGGGGGGAGGGAGGAGGGAGGAGGGAGGAAGGGAGGAGGAGGGAGGAGGGAGGGGGAGGGCGCGGCCGCCCCGAGGCCTGCGCGGCCGGCGGGTCGGTGGCGCGCACCGCCCAGACGTCGCCGCCGCCGGCGGCGGACACCGCCTCGTCCGAGCAAGGGCGACGGGGACGACGGGAGGGCCGAGGGAAGGTGGCGGATGGAGGAGAAGGGGGAGGGGAGGGGAGGGGGGTGTTACTCGTGTGTCAGTTTACTTGTGTGCATGTATGTATCCATGCATATGTATATGTATACGTATGTATGTATGTATGTATGATGTATGTATGCTGTATGTGTGATGTCGGTGTGCTGTATGATGTATGTATGCTGTATGATGTATGTATGCTGTATGCGGGAGGAGGGAGGAGGAGGAGGGGGAGGAGAGGAGGGAGGAGGGAGGAGGAAGGAGGAGGAGGAGGAGGAGGAGGAGGAGGAGGAGGAGGGGAGGAGGAGGAGGAGGAGGGCGCGCACGCGTGCTCGCACTCGAGGAGGAGGAGGAGGAGGAGGAGGAGGTAATTCGATACGATTGCAGCGCCATGCGACTGCAACGCGACGTCGGGGGGGGCGCAGCGGACGGCGGCGACGGGGCGGCGACGGGCCGGCCACGCTGCCGCCGGGGGCCCTGGTGGCGACGGGCGGCGACGGGCGGCGGCGGGCGGCGACGATCCGCCCAGACCAGCAGCGGGGCCCAGCTGCTTACGGCAGGTTCGTGTCGTGCCGACTTCGGCGTTGGTTTCTGACACCGCGGGGATCGTTCAACCTTGAACGATCGGCGGCTTCCGAAACGTCCATTTCGTTCCACATCGAACGATTCTGGGTCGCCCGCGGCGTTCAAAGTTGAACGCCGCTGGCGGGGTCGCCGCCGGTCGACACGACACGAACCTACCGTACCAGCCTCGAACGTATCCCTCCCTAAGATTGGCACGCCAGAGGGCGATGACTATCTCAGGGATGTGCCCTCAAAACATGAGAAAATCCCGAAGATTGGCATGGTGATGAGGAGGCACCCAGCAGAGGGACAGGGGTATGTTCCAGGCTGGTAAAGTTGCCCGAGGACACGAAGTGAACCCCTGAGTGCAAGCACTCCTTCGGAAAAACACGCGCTTGTAGGTGTATGTATACACATGTGCATGCGTGTATATATATATATACATGAGTTTTGCGTCGGCGGCTAGGCATAGGGTGGCTGCGCTGGCGATGAGAGGCTTAAACGGAGATGCATTTAGAGCGAATTGTGCCACCACGCAAGAGGAAGAGCGAGGAGAGGACGCGGCCGAAGAAAAACAGATCGCTCCCCGAGCGCGTGGCGCGGCCAGCCCCGCCGCAGAGCCCGCGGCGGCTGCTGCGTCGGCGGGCCAGGGGCGGCGGGGCCCAGAGCGGGGAGGCGAGGTACATACACACGTACATCAGCGTAATCACTTTCGGGAGCGGCCACGAGGGGGGTGTCCAAGAGGGGGGAGTCCAAGAGGGGGGTGTCCAAGAGGGGGGTGTCCAAGAGGGGGACGTATGAAAACAAGAAGAGGCGCCATGAGATATGGGGAAATATCATGCCCCCCGCCATGATATCCACCCCCCCCTAGTCATCACCCCCCTCTTTTCCGCCCCCGACACTTACACACATACACGCACCAACAGAGCCTGGCCGGAACAGCCCTGGGCATCCCGGGGATGGTGCGTGCGCCCTCCTGGCCCCGGCCAAGAGAGCGCACACGCCGTCCTCGGGCCAGGGCGGTCCCGCCGGCCACACCTGGGTGGTGTACAAATGCCGCATGTGGGTCCGAAACGCGCACTCCGAATCTCGCAACAAAAGGGAAGGGGCCAAAACCCTTCCAGACGAAAAATTCTAGACACACTCACACACGTGCACACACACACACACACACACACACACACACGACCACCATGAGAGAGGGCGGTCTCTTGTCCAGACCACCCCGGAAACTCCAGGACAGCTCCAAGCAGACCCCCCAAAAAATCAGACCACCCCTTTTTTTATTGACTACCTACCAGACCACCCCAACCCAACCCGAAGACCCGAACTTCGGGTTGGGGGAGGTATGGGCTCCATATGTGTTTTGTTCGATGTTCCCAGACCCCCCCCCACTCTGGAAATGGAGGGCAGATTGACGCCTTCGGGTTGGGTTGGGGTGGTTTGGTGGGTGGTGATTTATTGTGAAACCCAAAGGTCCTCCGAAGGATCCAGCCTCGGCCACGACTGGGCCCCACGCCATAAACAAGCTGAGGCACGGCCCGAAAACATGAGCCACTCCCGAGCCCAAAGCGGTCCTTATCTCCGCGCCTTGACTGCACCGATGCCGCCCGCGGGTCCGAAACGCCTCCTGGGGCCTCCCGAAGGGCCTCCGAGAGGTCCTCCTGAAGGGTCAAGTCGATCATGTCCCTTCCACCTACAGGAGGCATTATTCGAGAACGGCAAAAAAAATAGTCTGGGGACGACTTTTTCCCTGCCCCGGTGAACCTGTTTGATTATGTTTTGCCCGCACGTATTGGTCTTCGAAAGTCCGCCTGCCAGGAGGACATGAGGGAGGGAGGGAGGGAAGGAGGAGGGAGGAGGGAGGAGGGAGGA